TCGCCTTACCTAGTTTCATTTCTCTAACTGCTTTCTCTACTTCCTCCATCGTCACCTTCTCTATAGGTCCGTGTGTGACCGCGGATTCCACATCTCCATCCCACTCATTCTCTTCATTCATCAACCTTTCCATATGAGCTTTCCACACCTGAGCTTTTCCTCCTCATCTATGCACAACTTGCCAGATCCATCCCAAACACATCCATTCCCTATAACATCTTTCCTATCCCTCATTGACTGCTTTGCTACTTTGAACATTTTCCTCGAACTCACATCAAATTCCATTTCCTTCATTAACCTATCTGATGCTTTCGTCATTGCAGTTGCCACTGCCTGTTTTGCAACCTTCTTAGCCTTCCTATACTCAGACTCCGCTTCCTCCGTCATGTCCCTTCTCCATACCCTAAACCTCTCCTTCTTGACTTTCAAAACCCTTCTTATATTTTCATCCCACCACCACGTCTCACCATGCCTACACTTTCCTTTCGTCCATCCACATACTTTATCTGCCGTAGCCAACACACAGTCCCTGTATCTCTCCCAAACATCTCCATCCTTACCACTCTCCCAATTTTCAGCCACCTTCACTTCAAATGCCTTCCTCACCTCTGCATCTTGCAACTTCCATGTCTTTCTCTTTGCCACAAACTTATCCTTCTTCCTCCTCCCCATTTCTTTTGATGTCACATCCATCACAACCATACTATGCTGCAACATACCAGGTATCGCCTTCACATTCTTCACATACTTCCTATGTTTGGCCCTTACCAATATATAGTCTATCATCCCAAATAAACATCACAAATAAACAAAAATAATTTTAGCAAAGGTCATTTATTTAACGAAGCGATAGCTTAAGGCCTGGGCCTACTAAGCTCTTGTTATGATGTTTGTGTGTTAAGCCTTTCGTATCTAGAGGCTGTTATTACATCGAGAAATCTACGGTATGGGCGTGTATAACATTGAACTAACTTTCTTTATTCGAATCTGCTGAAATAATTAGTAGAAGATGCTTGCATGGCTTTATCAACGTGGATCCCAGAGAGACTCAGCTATGGCCATTAAATACACATACATACTCACCCACGTACATATATGCAAACAAACTAAAAAAAAATTTAATCTGAAAATTTTTGAAAATTAAAATTTTAATTTTGTGGACGGTTTTTTTGAATAACGCACTTGAATCCGCATCCGCGGCAAACCGCAAAGACAAAATCCGCGAGTTTTGAGAATCTTTTATCGGTATTTTGAGAATTTTTTATGCGGTAACAGCGGTTTGAAACCGCATTGCGGTTATTCGCTTGCGGCTTTAATGCAGATCTCAATGCAGAGATCTCATGCGTTGATGGGGAGAAGGTGGACAATATGGGTTGTGAGATGGATAGTCTAATAACTGTACAAACAAACAGACAAAGCAGATAAGCGGTTATCCGCTTTGGGCTCTAACTACTTGGCACTTTTTTAAAACGATTATCGGATACTGTGTAAATGTTCGCTAAAATTCCATTAGGTGCAATAAATATTTGTTAGATTGACAAAGATATCTACACAATTTTGTCTAACGTATTCTTCGTTCGTGGTCTAGCAAATGCAAAAATTTTAATGAAAAATTACTTAATATTAAAAAAAAATGATGAGTTAAAATATCATTCTACAACATAATGAAAAAAAGCAAAATGGACCTCGTTCAAATATCCGACATGATCATGACACCTAAGTATTGACAATCAAACGATGTTTTGCCATTGGGATTTTTATATCTCAAAATTTGGCAGTCATCATCAGGGTCAGTATCAACACAGTGAGAATTCTGTTCCTTTGCTTCATTCGTCACAACATTAATATTATTAGCATTCGTGTCTTGCATTGATGATGAACTTGAACTATTTGACGTTTTCTCCTCCTTCAAGTACTTGCACAGATTAATTTTTTGGAACAGGAACAAAGTTGGAATTTTATCAAAGATGTAGAGGCAGTTGTTGATAGTGATGGATGGTAAACCATAAACAGGCAACTTCAGCTGCAACACAGATGACCACTGGTCACTCTCTACATCATACATCTCTCCATCCTTTGTTGATTGTATAATTTTTTAAATTAAAATTAACGTTCACATTGATTAGTATAAAATAATATATATTAAATTATTTTGGACATAAAATTGAAGACATCATATAACGTTCTTAATTACTTACTAATAAATAATAAAATATATGACAACGACAAAATGAAGCATACTAACCATCGCATAATCGTCTAAATTTTCATCAAATGACTCATCTAATCCATTTGTTGTAATTTTACCACCAACGGCGAAAATCTTGTTACCAGTGCTTGTCATAACGTGGGAAATACGTGCCGTCAACATGGGAGCCCTCGAGAACCATTTGTTGCAAGAAGGGTCATACTGGTACATCAGATTCCGTACATGGAATATTTCATCAACCCCACCACTGACATACATACTACCATTGCACACACAACCTGTTAATATTCACCAAGATATATATATATATATATATATATCTATATATATATAGATATATATATATATATATATATATATATATATATGTATATATATATATATATATATATATATATATATATATATATATATATGTTGGTAATAGACCATAATTTTTACAATATTCTATAAATTCTACCGAATGTTTGGCGTTAATATGTTTTGTAGTGCGAAATTGAAATTGAATAGAATATTGTATATATATATATATATATATATATTTATATTTATATATATATATGTTTAGTTATTTGTTTTATATTATATTTGAAATAATCAGACCTGCCAGACTTGGTAGAGCAAGAGGTAAAGGTTCTACCATGTACCATCGGTTTTCACTCGGTATGTATTTTTCAACTGTTGGAGTTTCGTTGGCGCCGGTGGTGTAACCTGAAACTGCATATAGATGACCAGCTAGTCCTCCCAGGTAGAAATCACGCCTCGGATGATGCATGCTGCAACCCTGAATATTTTATGAGATGATAATTATTAGTAAAAAATTGAATCACTTGTTAGGTTGATATTAAAATATTAACAATTAATGTAAAAGGCGGAAAATGGATGATATACATATATTTAAAACAAGGTACACTGATATTAACGATGCATTTAAGGCGTGCAATAGAATACACTACGGTAGGTATTGATTAGAATGAATAATTCCACTAAATTACAATTGGAGAAACAAATTCATAAGAAATAATTTGAGAATAGTAAACCTTAGACCAGACTGCAGTAACAGGATCGTACACGAGAATTTCACGACAGGTCCATTTCCGGCGCAATTGTCCGATCAGATACAAACAGTTGTCAACCACACAGGCATTATAACGAAACAGATCAAGTGGTGGTCGCCTTCTATATGAGGGATTGAATTTGATGGGTTTTGGCTCAGCGCCGTTACTTCTGGTCTTGCAAGCTTCAACAAAGTTATAAACTGGCAGAATATTAAAAAAGTTTTTACCCCGGTGCTGAAATGAAAAAAAATTAAAATCCGGATAATAAGTAAAAGTAACAACGAAATAAAATTCACACCTTTTTTTCAGTTGATCCAACCACAAAGAGCTTACCAACTGTGCGAGAAATATTTGAATCTTTATCTTTACTATAGTTCATATTTAAATTCATATTGTGAAATATAGCTGAACATTTCTGTTTCTCTGAGGTTGTCATCAAATTGTACCTCACTTCGTTCAACAACTTTTTTGCAAAACATTTCCTCAACTCATTCTCGGAAATCCACATAATTATCAGATTGAAAACATCCATCTCGCTGTCTGAATTTATTTCCTCCGATGCAACCAAGCGAAACATTTCGTCTGGTGATAAAAATGTTTTGGAGCTTTCTGAGATTTTTTTAAAATTCTTCGACACGTATTTAATAACTTTATCCACCACCCGGTCAATTAGAACGTACTTGTTTGCAATGTCCAAAATACGTAGGCATGTTGAATAGTTCAAATGTTTCAGCAACAATTCAATGTAGCTGTCGATCATATCATTGATTTGTAAATAGAAGGCACCATCCAACCCTGCTTCTACTTCATTCAATGACTTCAAGCTTTCCAACTCGTTGGTTGAGAACTTGGAAAAATAATCCATCACTTCTATTAAAGATTCATTTGTTAAACATTCCAACGTAAACTCTCTACAATGGGCATCTCTCATTCCACTGTTCACCAAACCTTGGAAATAATTACTAGTCCGAAAAAGCACGTTTTTGTCTATTTGATGACGACCTCCTGACTTAGAAATTAATACAATTCGCTCTCCTGTTGAGTCATCATTACTTTCTACGTCATCTACATCCTTCATCATTTTCAACTCTTAACAACTGCAATAAATAAAAATTCAAATTATGCGGCTACAGCGAAATACAGTATATGATACAATAAACGGGTAATCTATATTCATTCAAAATATTATCAATATACTTGGATATCTTTTATACACCCCTCTTTCCCAATATATATTTATACGTTCATTTATCGATTTTACAACCTCCATAGATATATCTATTATACTTTAACTTATTCAACTATGTTCATTTATCTATGTATAAGTTTGCTTCGAGAACCTGATTTATTTATCTAAAATAGAAAATCCAAATGAGTGAATAAAGAACATAATAATAAATAAAATCACTTGAAACAATATGGAATATTACAGAAATTATAAATGAATAACCAACCTAAAATAGAAAAATTAAATTCCAGGTACAGATACCAAGCTATTAACACCTAATAATAAAACCGAACACGTGTTAAGAGTTTATATAAGATCGTGAAAGTCAAGTTATAAGCAAGGATAGAAAGTAAAGGAATACTTAAGCATAAATAATCATAGGAAATATAATTTTCATATGTTTACTTTCAGTAGGCACTACGTTCATTTGCGTTGTCGTATAAAGTTACAAAATCATTCGCATTTACAACTCTTGTTACAACTTACAAGGTTCTCAGCGTCGTAATCAAGTTTCCTCACAATGACTTTATTATCACTAACTTACAGAGTTGCTAACGATAATCATAGAAAAGAACGCCACTACCGCTACTGCAAGTGAAATGTAGCGTCGCTATCACTACTCAAATGAAAAAGTCACGACAAATGGCTACCGCGACGGCCACATTCATTGAACTATCATGTAAAAAGTAGAAAAATTTTTCACTTATTCCATTTTGATTGAAATCTTGAAATAGGTGTCTGCAATTTCATGACAAAAAATATTGTAAGCATAGGAGCGAGAATTGGTAAAACCTAATTTTCTAGGAATGGTTATCCTGGCTGGAAATCTGGAATGGTGAACGAAAATGGGAAAAACGACGTATACATGTATGCAAATATTTGCATTTAGTAAGAAGATTACTAGGTGCAAGCAATGGAGCTATGAAGAAATTTAAAAAAATACATTTGCGCAAACACGTGGTCGACACATACACGCGCACGCAAACACGTGGTCAATAGCATTGTACTAAAACTGAAGAAAGCCACGTGCTCAAGTTGAAACCACGAGCTTAAGTTAAAACCACGTGCTTAAGCTGAAACCACAGATTTTTCACGAAATACATTGAAAAACAAGAACCAAAGACCATGCTTATCGTCCAAATAGTCACAAATGAAAGCAGAAGATAAATGCTCCAACAAAGGATGCAAGGTTAAAGCAAAAAGCAAAGGTCCGAGTGGGTCTGTTATACACTTTCTGATGATCCACTAAAGTAACAAAAAAATCATTTTAAAGCAGTAAAAAGATACAAAACAACTCTGATTAACATAGGTTTCTTTAATTGGAAGGTTGTAAATTATTACGCACCATGCAATGTGAAATATTTTTATTTAAAGCTATAGACATCTTAATGTATTACCCTCTAGACCCGAAACATTTAAACGCTTAATTGCTTAGTAGGCTTATGTCCGCATCCGCGGCAAAACACAAAGACAAAATCCACGAGTTTTGAGAATTTTTTATCGGTATTTTGAGAATTTTTTATGCGGTAACAGCGGTTTGAAACCGCATTGCGGTTATTCGCTTGCGGCTTTAATGCAGACCTCAATGCAGAGATCTCATGCGTTGATGGGGAGAAGGTGGACAATATGGGTTGTGAGATGGATAATCTAATAACTGTACAAACAAACAGACAAAGCAGATAAGCGGCTATCCGCTTTGGGCTCTAACTACTTGGCACTTTTTTAAAACGATTAACGGGTTCTGTGTAAATGTTCACTAAAACTCCATTAGGTGCAATAAATATTTGTTAGATCGACAAAGAAATCTAGATAATTTTGTGTAACGTATTCTTCGTTCGTAGTCTTGCAAATGCAAAAATTTTAATGAAAAATTACGTAATATTAAAAAAAAAAGATGAGTTAGCATACTAACTATCGCATATTCGTCTAAATTTTCATCAAATGACTCATCTAATCCATTTGTTGTAATTTTACCACCAACGACGAAAATCTTGTTTCCAGTGCTTGTCATACGTGAGAAAAACGTGGCGTCAACATGGGAGCTCTCGAGAACCATTTGTTGCAAAAAGGGTCAAACTGACACATCCATCTACATCAGATTCCGTACATCGAATATTCATCAACCCCACCACTGACATACATACTACCATTGCAACACAACCTGTTAAAATTCACCCATATATATATATATATATATATATATATATATATATATATATATATATACATATATACAAACATCATTGAAGATATATGCCCATTTTGCATTAATGACTTTCTTTAATGAACACTCAACAAGTCTGAATTTATTAAACTCGTATTTATTTAAAACAATAGACATGGTAAGGCTAACAGCGCTGTTTCGGGAAGTCCATCTTCAGAGCCTATGAAAATAAGAATAGCATGAAATATTTTTATAAAATTAGAATGCATATTAAATGTGTAATAAAATTATTAAGAAAATAACGAGAAACCTTTGTTAGTGAAAACAATGCAAAACATGTACAAATTAAATTTATGGTTAAAAATATAAATGTATATAAAAAGTTAGTAAAATAGTATTAAATTAAATATTAAAACAAATAAATTAATACTGAAATTTAGTTCAGTGAAAATTTGTTAAAATCGGATGATGTAAATAAAACGTAAATAAGTTAGTTGAATGTGAAAAGAAGACATGTGTGGAAAGAATATGGAAAATTGTCAAAATTAATTATTAAGTTTATAATGATATATAAGAAATTTTAATAAACGAATCCGTAAATGAAACAACTAAATTAGATTAAAATGGAATATAGACTATTTATGAAAAAATATAATGGAATAAGATAAAATAAATGAAAT